TGAAGCGAATATGAGTGCGTTCGGTCATATTGGCGATGGACTGCCTGATCGACGCATCCTGCGCCATCGGACTGCTGCGCTGAGCGACGCTCAGTTCATCGATTTGTGAACTTGGACTGTGATTAGTTGCAAGAGCGGAAACGGTGGCGACAATGAGCGGGGACCGATATTCACTGGCTTCTCTCTGTTGGCGTTGCTTTCCTTTTGTTTTCGCATTTTCGTTAAAAGTGAAATTCATGCAAGTTTCAGCAGTTGCCTTTGTTAACGCCTATAGAAATGACTCGGTAAAGAAGGGCAAGTTGTTGTTGAGGACAGGTGTGGGGTTGTTCGTCGTCGCCGTGACAACTAAGATGAGAAAAGTGGTGAGGCTGACAAAGGTGGTTATTTGGTGGTGATTGGTCATCGGACATCTCATGCCAAAGTTGGCTCGAGTACCATAGAAGAGAGTTAGTGATGAAGCCACTGGTGCGGTCATTGAACCGCATCGGGGTCGTCGACGTAAGTACTCGAAATGCCTGGTCAATGGAATGAGACAAAGACTAGGGATAACACGTAGCTCAACTAGTACAGTAGTAGTATCTCGGTTATACTGTAGCATGCCTGAGCATGATGAGAAGGCTAAAGGGGTTTGCTGATGCAAGCAGAGATCTGGGACTGCAGTGTATCGGTGATCTCTTATTGTGGTCAAGGGGTTTGGTTGCAATTTCGCCCATGTTCTGCAGCTTGGTTTCTAGAGGTGATTGGATACCCGGACTTGGGCGCACTATTCGCAAACCCACTGCTCATGTAAGCGGGAATCACGCCACTTTCACGTGATGCAGCTGTAGAATACTCGAGCCCTAATAGGTAGAAGACTGGTACAACAGAAGAGGCTTTATTGACCAATCACAAGCCAGAACCACAGGTCAGGCGCCTTCCATTCGAGTTCACCACGCTGGCCAGGCCACTCCTTATATACTCCACCTCAGACGTGTCCTTCTCTGGTTGGCTGCCTGTCGTCCTCGTATGCCATGGGAACACAGAGAGACAGAGGACTGGCTGAGGCCAGGTGGTCAAATGTGTCTGCGCCTTCAGACGTCGCCACACCACACCACACTGCCTCGTCCTCAGGAGTGAAGCTGTCCTCAGCTTCTGGCTTAGTTCCTTGCACTCTTCATGATTGTTGAAATATCCACCTCGACATTCCCCACACCCCACATCTGGCAGGATGGTGACCCATGCGAATAGTTGACGAGGGACTACACGAACATGAAACAAGGTAAATCACCTACGACGCTGCACCAACAACGATAGAAACAATTGGCCGAGCCATTTTGCACAACGTTTGAACGAACGAGCAACGCGACTACGCGCCACAAAATGCACAGTAGCATGTTGTAACAAAACACAGGGAAGCACCAATTCAGCCACCAAGAGACGATCTGACAACTAGTTTGCAACTGACTCCTCAGAAAATTTCCTGTCATTGTGAAAATGCCTAATAATATTAGGTTTCCATAAGAATAACTGAGGCTAAAAACCATTTTGCTCAAAAATAAACAATCAAGCCTCTCAGTTTGAGTTCCTCACCACTTGTTTTCTGCATGTATGAGCTTAAACCGATTTGTAAACAGCTGCAAGACAATTTTACGAATTGTGCTTCCAGGGAGATCTCCAGGTACTGCCATGTAGAATCAAAGTAAATCCCATGCAAAAGTTAAGGAAATAGAGACAAAAGAGCAGTACAAAATGATTATGAAACGTAGCAACAACGCAGCCTAATGTAAAAAATACATGGGTTTTATAGCATGATTTTTTGCGACTCAAAATGTGGAAAAATTGTCTCATTTTGGCCAAACCTAATGTATCCGCACAAATGCTTGTGTAGTCTCTAGCCTTTTCTTGTTGTCTGGAAGGTTTATTTAAGTTTGTTCGAAAGTCTATAAATTCAAAAATAATGCAAATTATTTATATAAAGACGTCATTTTAGCACAATGCGTTTAGGAATAAAAATTATTGCCTTTTATCTCGTTTAGGTGTGTCGATGTGATATTTGCGAAGCAGGTGGTCTGCGGGCTTTAAAATTTAAAGGTCCTACGTTGGTGTTGCTGCTATGCGAGGAAGTGTCGCTCCGAAATTTAAACCCGGCATCACTAGTACACCAGTGTCTAATGTCCGGGATCTACAACAGCGGTTTGTTTTTTATTTGCTTAACTTCGCAGTATGTAAAGCATATCACACTGTTGTGTCCTGTCTGCATTATGCATATGCTTACTTCCAACCCTACGACGTTCAATGCTGCACTGGCCCCTTTGGTCACTCTATTTAAACCAACGCTTATTCAATAGACATTTTCAGGCCGTGTGCATCAATCTCGGCATTTGACTAGTCATCTAATAACACTCCTGTGCTGACTATTTTCTCACAACATCATTTTCGGTTCATATTTTGTACAAGATGTTGCGTCATCCACCTATTTTATTCTTTACACGAATCTTGCTTTTTGTGTCGTTAGTATTTCCCATGATAGGTTAATAGATATTTGTATGCAACGTATAATTATTCGCGTTTTGAGTCAATTGCAGGCCTGTAGATTTGAACAGCTCGGTCGCGTCCGCTCGGTCTGTAAGAAAGCACGCCCATCCACCCAAACGTCGAACAGGTTTGCTCACTTTTAATTAAGCAAAT